CTTGGAGACAGAGTTCTGGGTGAAGTAGAAAACGATAGCTTTATTGTTCTGCCAGGCAAAGGGGAACACAGAGGGTTCCTGCCCCTCAAAACTGTGTGTCCCAACCCAGGAGGATTTGGTGAGGAGTTTTATAACAATGGTTCAAGGATGGGGTTGTTGATAGGGTTAGGGTGTGTGCAGTGCCTGCACTCCTTTAATCTGGTCTCAGGTAATCTCTTTTTTATTTATTTTATTTTATTTTTTTGCGGTACATGGGCCTCTCACTGTTGTGACCTCTCCCGTTGCGGAGCACAGGCTCCGGACGCGCAGGCTCAGTGGCCATGGCTCACGGGCCCAGCCGCTCCGTGGCATGTGGGATCTTCCCGGACCAGGGCACGAACCCGCGTCCCCTGCATCGGCAGGCGGACTCTCAACCACTGGGCCACCAGGGAAGCCCCCTCAGGTAATCTCTTGATGAGCTTCTCTGGTTCCTTTAATCTGGTATGTTCCTAGAACAAGCTGAGACTTGGACAGAGCCACCTGACAAGAGCTGTGGCCCTTGGTAGGACGCTGCCATGCCAAACTGGGGTCTGGCACAGAGGAAGCCAGGGGACCAAATACTTTGATCACCTCCGCCTGCCAGGGCCACCTATAGGCTGAAGCCAACCCGCGCTATGGCACAAGGGAGCCTCCAAATGCGGCCCATGGAGGCCAGGCTGCCAGGCGAGCAGGGTGGAGAGGACACCTGGAGGGGCAAGAAGAACGTCAGCACTCTTAGGAATCCTGGTTTCTTGTCCACTGACCAGGTCTAGGTCTGTGACTCTGAGCACGGAGGAAGGAAAGTGTTCACATCCGTAAGAACATCACCTCCTTTCTTCCGGTTTCATCTTTTTCAACCAGAAAAGTCATACTGGCAACCAAGGCAGTCCAGATCCACTCCTGGGCCGGGCGCGGCAAAGTCACTGGGCCACGAGAGACACCCGATATCCACTCTCTCCTGGCTGTTCTCAGCTTATGCCACGGAGGCCTTTCCATGGAGAGCCACGGTTCTCTTCTGAAACCACCGGAAAGCTGGGATAGTTTCTGTCACTCATAGTGGTCAGGAGTGAGGATATCTTGTGCAAACTCAAGAGTAAACTTTAAATATCTCTCACTTATTTTTTATTTTTATTTTTTTTGCGGTACGCGGGCTTCTCACTGTTGTGGCCTCTCCCGTTGCGGAGCACAGGCTCCGGACGCGCAGGCTCAGCGGCCATGGCTCACGGGCCCAGCCGCCCCGCGGCATGTGGGATCCTCCCAGACCGGGGCACGAACCCGTGTCCCCTGCATTGACAGGCGGACTCTCAACCACTGCGCCACCAGGGAAGCCCAGAAGTCTGTAATTTTAATGGATTTAAATGTATCAGTCTTTTCTTATGGCTGGTGCTTTTGGTGTCTTGTTTAAGAAATCCTTCTTGTCTTTTGTGCTGAAGGTGACCAGATTGTGCTGGAGGCTTGGAGCTGTGCTTCAGGGCATCTTCTTTGGGCCCTGGGTCACACTGCTTCCGCTGTGGGGCAGGCAGGTTTTTCTGGGACCCCAGGCTTGGCCGGGTAGGGGAGGGAGAGGCCACTTCCGGGGTCCTTCTACCATGGAGCCCAAGTTTCCAAGAAGAGATTTTCCGTGGACCGTGTCCCTGCCATTCTTGTGAGTGTGGAAGGTCTTCCCAGTGGATGGGCAGGCCTGTGTCCCAGTGGGCCAGGACCGAGCTACCACCTGTATGGACGCTCAGGCAGGGTGGGCTGTGACAGGGGCTGACTCCAGCTCAGAACTGGGATATCTGGTTCCTGAACTGTGGGTCCCTGGAGCAGATGAGGTGGGACAGGGAGAAAACTGGAGGTGGTGGAGCAGTAGGAAACCTCCCATCTGCCCTCTAATTCTGGATTCGAGGGGATGTAATGGCACGATTCTAACCAACTGCCTCAAGCAGAACAGGTGGCAGGTTTACGCCTGTTGGGGGACGGGGAAGATGTCCTGACTCCTTGGCCCTCACTCCTCAAGGTCACCTGGGTTAGGCAAGGATGGTCGCACTGTTCACAGTTCCCTTCCCAGGACCCACAGTGCCTGCCACATGGGAGGCATTAGTAGATATTTGTTCAGTAATACATTGACAATTTTCAAAGAATTGTGTAAAAAAATTAATTTTCTAGTTTCTCCTGAAGAACACTTTTTGTAGCCACTAGGTGGCGGAGTTAATTACATCAAGCTGGCTTGTGGGGGGGGGGGGGGGGGGGGGGGGGGAGGGGTGGAATTCAGATAGGGAAGCAGGCATTTGAATTTAAATTCAATCTTGTTTTAATTCTGTTTTGGAGCCTGTTAATTACTAAGTTTAAAAAACATATTGTCCTAAGAAATATTTGCAGGATAAATCTGAGATAAAGACCGTGGTGGATGACTTTCTTTCTCAAGCTAAAGATGGTATGAATTTCTCTTCTACATTGTTTCCAAATTCAGTCATTTTAGGGCTTTGACTAGATGTAAATTCTTTCCATTCTTTATTCAGTTAAATGAATGTCAACTCAGTTTGCCCTTTTGCTCAGAAGTGATCTTTTACTGTCAGAATGTGGCAACCTCCTTTGTTTATTGCATCTGGCAGATTTGAGTCTCTGGGACTGACCCCTTCCCAAGTCCCCCCCCCCACCAGAGCTCTTCCTCAGCTTCCATCCCCGTTGATTACCCTCCCTCATTCCGAACAGCTTCAGAGAGTCCTGGATCTTCGGTTTTCTCTTCTGTAGGAAATCAGGTATCTTGCCAGCCCTGCCTTTTGTTTAAAAAAATTTTTTCAAAAGCAATTTGTTTATTTGAAAATACAGGGCTTCCCTGGTGGTGCAGTGGTTAAGAATCTGCCTGCCAATGCAGGGGACATGGGTTCGAGCCCTGGTCTGGGAAGATCCCACATGCCATGGAGCAACTAAGCCCGTGCGCCACAACTACTGAGCCTGTGACACAACTACTGAAGCCCACACTCCTAGAGCCTGTGCTCTGCAACAAGAGAAGCCACTGCAATGAGAAGCCCTCGCACCACAACAAAGAGTAGCCCCTGCTCACCGCAACTAGAGAAGATCCATGCACAGCAACAAAGACCCAACGCAACCAAAACAAAACAAAACAGAACAAAACAACAACAGCAACAGCAACAACAACAAAAAATATATATATAAAGTACAGCTACAATCACAGGCTTGCATCAAAGAGGCTCTTATTTTGAGGGGGAAAATGAATGTACACATCTGGAAATGACTTGGAGGTGTTGAGATAGGGATGGACAAATAATCCTAAATTTATCTCCGTATCATTATGAGTTATTATGATAGTAAAACTGTCCTTTGTTTTTCTGTGTACAGGTCTGTGAGTTTTAATACATGTATAGATTCCTGTAACCAGTACCATGATCAGGATAAAGAACAGACCATCACCCCCCAGACTCCCTTGTGCCAGCTCTGTTTTTAGTCACACTAAAATGTTGCTGTACAATATTGTGCTTATATTTAATGATTTAAAAAAGCGTGGTGCCGCTTTCTCTGGCCATCACAGTTTCTGATGAGAAACCACAGTCATTGGATTACCCTTCTCTATAGGTAATGGGTCATTTTTGTTTGGCTATTTTCAAGGCTTTGTCTTTAGTTTTTAGCAGTTTGATTATGATCTATCTAGGCTTGTACTTCTTTGAGCTGGTTCTGTTAAGGGTTCATTGAGCTTCTTGAGTCTGTCTGTTTGTGTCTTTCAGCAAATTTGGAAAGTCTTCAACCATATTTTTTCACACACAAACAAAAGTAATTGTTTCGGATACCATTTGTTTGCCTCTCCAGATATCCTTTCCATATTTCTCTAGCCTGCTCTGTGCCCCAGAGGGGTGTCTTATACGGATCATATCATTGCCCAATGTCCCATGACTTCCTGTTAGGTTTGGCGAGTAGGGAAAACTAGCAAGAGGTAGAAATGGGTAGTTTGGGTATTTATTCCTCAGGATGCCTCGCTGCAGAATCATCTCAGGCTGGCTGTGTTTCTCTGGGAAGGTGAGAGCTCAAATCAAGCACCATCTCCATCAGGTTTCTCTGTCTCTGGCTGAAACACAGTAATTGCTCCCCTTCCTCGTTTTTTGGGTTTAGATGATGATACGCTCCCCTCCACCTTGGTTAGCAATCCTGGTATGACACAATTCATACCAGGGAGTGGGGATCAGAGTCTCTCTTCCTTTCATCCTTCATTCCCAGGCATTTGGGCCTACAGTCCCAGGACCAGCCTCAAAGAGAATCTGTTTTCAAGGCCGGCAACTCTAGACCCAGACTGGCTGTTGGGAGTGGAACGAGCTTTGTAGGTTTGCTGTTGCCTCATTCGCCTCTGCCTCCCTCCAGCCAAGAGAAATACCCTAAGCAAGAAACTGGGAGCAACAGCACGAGAGTTTATTATCATCATTGCTCAAGAAGGGACATGAAGCAGGCAGGATGGTGAAGGTGAGCAGGAAATGGACCAGAGCAGCTCTGATGGTTGGTGGTGCAGGGCAGTGGCTGTGGCCATGGGGGAAGGATAACTGGGGCCAGAGGAGAGCCTCTCTTCCCGGCCTGGTTCTTCTTCCACGAGGCAGATGCTGGGACACCCAGTCCAGGTGGAGCTCCAGACATGAGTCCTCTGGAGAAGCAGGGCTAATTTCACTCACTCCCAGCAGTTTTTTCCAAGGGAGGGTCTCTTTTCTAAGGGAAAAGGAGGGGGTGGGACAGCCCATGGGGGAGAGAAAGTGTAAATGCTCTGTACCAGGGCAGCTTAGTTCTGGAGCCAATCAGATCCACCATCAGCCTCATGGTACCTGATGCAAAGAGCCCCAAGGTCCCACCATGTACATGGACTTCCCTAGCTTCCTAGGGTCTCTTTTTCAGATTTTATTTTTGATGTGGACCAATTTTTTTAAAGTCTTTATTGAATTTGTTACAATATTGCTTCTGTTTTATGTTTTGGTGTTTTGGCCGCGAGCCATGTGGGATCTTAGCTCCCTGACCAGGGATTGAACCAGCAGCACCCCCTGCATTGGAAGGTGAAGTCTTAACCGCTGGATTGCCAGGGAAGTCCCTCACTAGGGTCTTTGGACTGGGTGTTACTTGGTCAGGGACAGGGGGTCTCTGGGCTGGGCCACTACTGGGGTGGAAAGACAGGAATGATGCCCCTTGACACTCACTGTAATGACACTTTTCTCCTCCCCAAACCATCCGCTCTCCATTCCTGTCTCCCCTGGACAGCACTGCTGCCCCAAACACACAGACACAAGCTTTAGGCACTCACCTCCTTACATCGGTATTTTCTCCAGCAGCACAGACACAGGGGGACCAGAGACGCTAGAAGCAGCAGAGCCCAGACCCCCAACAGCATGGCATTGATGTTTATGAACAGGGCCTGGGGACAGAGGACCGAAGCTATAGGCACCCAGAGAGACTGTTGCCATTTGTGGTCTGTCTTCACGCTGATCATGGCACAGGGTCACTCTCCACCCCATTCATCCCATCCCCAAGTCGGTAGCTTCCGGGGTGGGGGGAGGCTGACGAAGGAGCCCGGGGTGGGGGTCAGTGGGTGTAGCATGCAGAGAGCGGCCAGTAACCCCTGTCACCGGGTCTCAGCGTCCTCATCTGAGCAGCGATGGGCTTGGGCTGTGGTCTGGTTCCCTGACAAGCCCAAGACTTGAACATGCATTTAACACCTTCGCAGCTCTTCACGTATTTGCAGTATTAGCTCCTTTATTATGAGTTCAGTGTTTGTATTTCCCACAGATCTGTACCTCCCACAACCATAGGAACCGCTTCTGTTTCGTTCGCTGCCACGCTGGGGTGACGGGAGACATGCTCAGGGCAGAACAGGTCACGCCCTTTTTGGTGGACAGCCTCACTCTCCTCCACTGTCTGACCCTCCCTGCCCACCGCCTGCTGCCTTCCCCGGCCCGGCTACCTTCAGCATGTTCACATAGGAGGTGCACAGCTGCAGCCTTCCCTCGTCTGCACTCGGAGAGCTGGGGGCCCCAGTGGGCCTCCAGGAAGGGGAGACATCACAGATACCATTAAAGAGAAAATGGTGGTACTCATGGAAACTTCTAGCCCCAATGATGATGGCGGCTGTGGCCGTGGAGAAAGCTGCCAGGGCGAGCAGGGTCCTCAGCAGGGCCTGGTGAGGGCAGTGTGCAGAGACAGACCTTGGAGACTCAGTCTCTCTGGAGCCCAGCCCGGGACGAAGAGCGGGAAGTCTAGTGGAGGGGGCGTGGGATGGGCGGCAGGCTGGGGGTGGCCTCCAGCTTCCGGGGCTGGTGTCAACCCCTCCCCGAACTCACCCAGTAGGTGCCACCTCGTTTCTCATAAATGAAGGCGACAGCTCCAGCCAGCACAGCCTGGGGAGGGATTGAAGCAGCAGGGGTAGCCCGGGGCAGCCGAGCCCCACCCCCAGCAGCCTGCTTCTTTTTCCTTCCTCAAGTCCCACAGGCAAAACCAACCGTCCTGCTGGCCTTTCCCCACAGCACCCCACGTGGACCCGAGGTTTTGAGCTGAGCTCTGTTGTCTTCAACGGTGAGGGTATTGAAGGCCGAATCAAACGCCCGAGGCTGCAGGACCCTCTATTTTAGGGACATCAAAACTGCTCACGGTCAAGCCGGGTGTAAGCCCCCCTTCCCTTCTCCAAAACCCTCTCTTTTTAAGCAACACCCGGTGCTTTATGAAAGCTCCAGGGCGGTGGGGTGGAAGGTCCGGGGTGTTGGAGGAGCTCTCAGTACAGGATCAGCGTCCGCTGCCTCGGGGTGAGGGCAGGCGCTCGTTCCAACAGCGCTCAGCCTCCCACCCAGCGGGTCTTCCAGGACAGGAAGTGTGGCTGATGCCAAGGGAAAGATGGATCTGAATCCTGTCTGGCAGTTCTGTAGCTAATCTCAGTGTTTTCGGCCGTGGGGTGGATGACGATCATTACTTTGGGCTCCTCTCTTAATCGATATGTGTTTTGCTCTTGTTCTGTGAGGGTGGGCAGGACAGAGGGCGCCTCCTTCCTGCTATGATCCGCCCACCCATCTCCTGCCGCAGATGGCACACGTCCATCTGCTGACATAGCTGCCGTTGTCCGGTGAGCCCCCCTGGGCTTCCCCTGTGTGCAGGGCCTGCAGAGGGCAATGGGAAGCCACCGAGGGGGTACATCTCCCTTGTACACACGCTCCAGCACGTTCCGCCTCCCTCCATCTCAGTGCAAGTGCCTGGAGATGAGTCCTGTCCTAGATCCTTAGCTGATCTGCTGCTGAAGGTGGGAGAAGAGGTGGGAGAAGCCCGGTGCAGGGACCCGGGAGAGCTGACCGGTGACCGTGGCTCTCCCAGCCCTTAGCTCAGCTGGTTTCCCGTCTGTAGAAGCCTGGTGTCAGCCTAGAGATCTGGGAGTCTTTTCAGCTGCAAACAGTCTACATTCTGATGGGGTCGATGGTGGTGGTCTCTCACCTCTGATAGGGGGTCCCTCTGCCCACGGTCCTCCCGCCCCACTCACCACAGCCCCTGTCCAGATGGGGGCTCCCGATCCAAGCAGCGTGGTGTAGGAGATGAAGAGGAATCCCCCCAGGACCCCACTGAACACCCCCAGCACGATCTGCACCGCCTGAAAGATGAAAAACCCAAGAACCCGGATTCCGGGTGCCAGGCCCAGTCTGCGTCTAAGCCTCAGGGGAGTTTTGAGGACTTTCCACTCCATGTACTAAAGGTTAGAACCCTATGAAAGGGGAAGAGAGAGAGAAGAGAGGAAGAGAGGGGGCACGAGAAGGGAGAGGACAGGAGGGGAGAGAAGGCGAGGGGAGGGGAGAGCTAGCCCACGCTGGGCCGTGAGAGGGTGAACTCCGGGTTCCACCAGCTGGGACTTTAAATGGTCAGGGGCTCCTCTGCACCCTTCAGCCCACAGCCCACCCTACCTACAGCTTTCACTGAGAGGCCAGTAAGTGAAGGAAAGGCCGGAACTTGATCTCTAGGAAGAGCATAAGCATCCCACTCAGAGAGAGGCTGGCTGGGAGAGCGTGCAGCCGGAGGAGGGGGCTTACCCTTCCCAGTCTGGGGAGCCTGGGCGCCCGTCCTCGCCCTACTCACCCAGGAGGCCACCAGCAGCCGGCGGTGGCCCAGGGCCCGGGAGGCGGCGTGCGGCGAGGGCACGTGGGGCTGCAGCAGGGGACACCTACTCAGCAGCAGCTTGGCCAGAGCTGACTCCTGGTGGATGTCCACCTTGATGCAGGTGGGCTGGGGAGCCCCAGAGGCCACGTCCCCGCCATCTGCCATCTTCAAGCCGGTGGACACCCGCCTGGGAGGGAGGAAGGGGGCGTCAGGGGGAAGAGTTGGCAGGAGGTTTGCACAGATTCCATGGGAGCTGGCAAGGCCCCCGGTCACAATGCAGCATCTGGGACCTGCCTTGAGGGGTGTCATGTGAGGGATCCCTGCGTCTGCTGAGGCTCTGGCCACCGCCCAGCCCACTGGAGCTGCCCTCTTCACCCTAGACCTGCTGTGTCTCCCCATCCTCCACCCACGGCCTCAGGGTCTGGACCAAGCAGTGCCCTGGAGCCCTCACCTCTCTCCTTTCTGCTCCCAGCCCGCTTGTGTGATCACGGCCCTCACCCTGGCTCTCCCCCCTGCCTCTCCCCCTCCAGAGCCCTCAGGCTGCCGGACAGAAGAGAGTCCTGGCTGCCTGTTGAACTACTGTTGAGGTATCTGCTTCCCAGCTGAGCCCGGGGACCCACCCCCCGCCCCTACATATCTCCCTTTCCATCAATGGCTACTCAGCCCCACGCTGCCTGTTCAAACTGCGCCCCCCAACCCTCTGCATGAAGCTGTGGGTGCAGATGGAGGCCCAAGGCCAGAATGACTTGACTTCAAACGGGGACGAGGCTGTACCTGGCCTCCACTCCTGCCGCCTTCCTGGATGCATGTCCTCTACACGGTGGTCGGTCCTTCCCTCCCCAGCAAGTTCTGGGGGGCCTTTGAGGGGGCAGGGTGTGGACTCCTCTGGGGAGGGGCCCTGTGAGAAGGGTCTCTGGGAAAAGGCCGCCTGGGCTGAGGGTCTGCCTCACCTGCTCTCCTCAGGGACCGGCAGTCACGGTCGAGGGTGATAGGAGGGCTGGGGACGGCTGAGTGGGGGCTGAGAACCAGGCAGAAAGGAGAGGGGTTTGGTGGAGCTCCAGAAAGGGAAGGATGAGGCAACTTCTCAGCACACAGCTGGAGCAAAGGGCCCCTCCAGGGTTTTCTAGCTGCCAGGGGAGATCACTTGGCTCCGACGCTCTGGAGAGCACAGAGGAGACTGCAGAGCTGACCAGCCCTGGAAAATCCCCCATCCCCACCAGGGCAGGGGTTTTCTGAACAAGGACTTGCCTGTGCCGTGTGCACCGCAGCGTGTGTGCTGCGTAGGGATGAACACGCCAGCGTGTGCGTGTCTGTGCGCTCCGCCTTCTCCCGCCAGCCTGATTATCTACTCAAGACCAGCCCCCCGCCCCCAGAGGGGCCCCTTTGGGCCAGCTCTTTTCTGGGAAGTCAAGACGCTGAAGGTCAAACCCTCATCACTCCACCCCTTCCTTCTGCTCTCTCCCACCCACTGCCGGGTGCCTCAGCTCTGGGCAGCTCTGCTCCACTCGGCCGCTGGTTCCCAGAGGACAGCAGGTGAGCAGGGCCCTCAGGTGAGCAGTCCAGGTGACCCGTCCCAGGAGACTCTCAGTGCAGGACCCTCTCTCTTTCTCTCGAGGAGTCTCCAAGACCAGTCCCCAAAGCCCCCATCCTGTCTCACAGGATGCCATTCTCCCCCCATTCCTGGTCCCTGTAGGACCTCCTTGGGAGGGAGGGATACACTAGATAGAGGACGTGACACTAGGAAAATGGCTAGGGAGGTCGGGGGGCCCGTGCCTGGCCGCGTCAGCTGGACTCTGCCTCCCCAGTGCCTCATGTCTTTATTCTGAGGGTGGGGTGGCTGAGGCTCGGGTGGTTTCCTGGTGAGAGGTCCTTCAATAGCAAAGGCAGAAGGTGGAGGGCCCAGGGTGTAGCTGGGATCCTGGCCCTCTCTCCCCAGCTTCAGGGGCACAGGGAGGAGCTGGGCAGAGAAGAGTGTCCAAGGCAGCAGGGAAGAGCCCCACACCCTGGGGTTAGGGTGGCGTGAAAGGGGATCTTCACGGGGCTGGCCTGGCTCAGAGGAAGAGCAGGATCTAGGTTGAGCTGGGGATTGGAGCTGGGGGTGAGGCGAGAGGGGGAAGCAGTGGTATCCGGAGGGCTCAGAGGGAGCCGGAGCCCAAGGCACATTCTGGACTCTGCAATATGGTGCTGATCGCTGGGTCCCAAGGAAGATCGGGCCAGAATCCCGGCTGGGCTTCCTTGTGTGTCTGTGAACAGGTCTGAACCTCCTTGCACGTCTGCAGAATCGTCAAACACCCGTCCTTTATACCGCACGGAGGCCAGGTAGGTGAGGAGTGAAACTGCTCTGTAAAGTCCATACGATACAAATGGGGAAGCCTTAAACTTATTGCTCTTGCTGGTGTTTTTAGAATTGTTATTAATAATGTTATGATTTAAACAGTGGTAAGTAGGATGCCCATGAGAATTACCTGGAAAGGATTTCCTTTGGAGCTAGGCAAGTTGGTTCTAAAGTGCCTAAGGAGAAGTAATCTAGCAAAAGTGGCCCTGAGGGGCTTCCCTGGTGGCACAGTGGTTGAGAGTCCGCCTGCCGATGCAGGGGACACGGGTTCGTGCCCCGGCCCGGGAAGATCCCACATGCCGTGCAGCGGCTGGGCCCGTGAGCCATGGCCGCTGAGCCTGCGCGTCCGGAGCCTGTGCTCCGCAACGGGAGAGGCCACAAGAGTGAGAGGCCCGCGTACCGCAAAAAAAAAACAAACGAACAAACCAAAACAAAACAAAAACAACAACAACAAAAAAAGTGGCCATGAAAGAAAAAAGTAACGTGGGGGGGCAGGTCATGAAAGAGCTCAACTAAATATTAAACTCTGTACTCATTATTAAAATTACAGTAATGTTGCATGACTCATCAGATCCACCAATGGGCAGAATATAAAGACTAAAATAGGCTTGGATTCCTACGGGAATTTTCTTTTTGCTCAGGGGAGCATTTTAAATCAGTGGGAGAAAGATGATATATTCCGTAAACAGAATATACTCTTTAGAAGTTAACCATCTGAAGAGGACAAACCAAAACCAACTTGGACCCATTTTTTCCAACTTACAAGGTAAATTCCAGACGGCTCAACATTTAAATGTGAAAACTGAAAACATAAAAGCACTTAGAAGAAAACATGGATGAATTATTATTTTATAATCTTGACATGGGAAAGTCCCTTTTAAGTACAATATAAAACCCAGAAATCATAAAAAATGACTGAAACCTTTGATTATATAAAAATACAAATGAAGTCAAAACTAAATCACAAATTGAAAGCACTATCTGTAACTCTCGTCGCCGATGGTAATTTTTCAAATACACGAAGAACTCCTATAAAGACCAAAACAAAACAGTAACGCGAGGAGTTCATAGGATATGAAAGGAAAGCTCGCAAAAGAAGAGGAAAAAGGCTCTTAAACGTATGAAAGATGACCAACCTCACTCATAATAAGAGAACTGATACTGGAGTAGTCACAGAAAGCAGACTGGTGGTTGCATGGGGCCAAGGGTTGGAGGGGTTCCTGGGGAAGGGACATTAGGGGACTTTTTGCAACATAGAAATAGTTCTGTATCTTCACTGTAGTTATGGTTGCACATAGGTACACATTTGTTAAAAGTCACTGAGATACACAATTAAAAGGGGGCATTTTATTGACTAAAAAGGATTAAAATCTACAACGGAATGTCATTTTTCCAAGAGACGTTTGAAAAGATTAGCAAGTTTGCTGACACCTTCTGCTGGTCTTGGGGAGGAGCAGTGGACACTCTTGGAATTGCCCTTGCATGAGAATTGCATGGAAATAGCTCCATGGAGGGAAATACCTTTTAAAATTACAAATACACATTCCCATTGACCTGCTGATTCCACATTGCTTGTAAGAAAAAAAATAAAGGTCTATAAATAGGGGACTGCTTAAAACAATTATGATGCATTCGTACAATGGAATACTATGCAGCCATAAAAACAAGTGAGGACGCATTTTATGGACTGATGTAGGATTATTATTATTTATTTTTTTTGCGGTACACGGGCCTCTCACCGCTGCGGCCTCTCCTGTTGCGGAGCACAGGCTCCGGACGTGCAGGCTCAGCGGCCATGGCTCACGGGCCCAGCCGCTCCGTGGCATGTGGGATCTTCCCGGACCGGGGCACGAACCCGTGTCCCCTGCATCGGCAAGCGGACTCTCAACCACTGTGCCACCAGGGAAGCCAGATGTAGGATTATTTTTAAAAGATGGTTCTGTGAAGAAATCATTGTGCAGAAACTGTGTGTGCTATCCTGCCATTTGTGGGAAAAGAGGGAGAGAAAGAATATTTTTACATGTTTTTATATGCAAAAAAGTCATTGTAGGATATATTAGAAAATGATACTATTTTTCCACCTGGAAGACAACTAGCTGGCTAGGAGAGAAAGAGAGGAGAGTGGGTTTTAGCAGTATACCCTTTTTTATCTTTTGATTTTTTTTTTTAACCATATGAAAGTGTTATGTGTAAATATGTACACTATGTTGCTGAAATAATTCAGATTCCTTTCTTTGTCAGTCCCAAGACCCAGACAAACTGTATCTGACCATTTTGGGAAGAGGTCCAAGAGTCTATATGGTGAAAACTCTAGAGGTGATTCAGATTTGCATCCCAGATTAAGGTCACTGTGACAGAGACTTCCCTGGTGGTCCAGTGGTTAAGACTCTGTGCTTCCAAGGCAGGGGCCGTGGGTTTGATTCCTGGTTGGGGAACTAAGATCCCACATGCCGTGACTTGGCTTGACTCAAAGACTGTTTTCTCTCCCTGCACTCATGCAGTGTATTCCTTTTTCCCTTACTTAGATCTCAAACCTCACTTCTGTGCATCTCCCCAGCAGGCAGGATGACCCAAAACATGCTGGCTGTGAATGGAGTCGATGTGGTCTCTCCGCTGTCCCAGCCCACTCACATCGACATCCACATCCATCAGGAATCTGCTTTGGCACAACTGCTAAAAGCTGGGAGCTCCCTGATGGAGCGCCTGTCCCACCATCCTGCCAAGGCCAGCATAAGCTACGGACAGCTGGCACTAGGGGTAAGGGCGGGATGGAGAGGTGGGTTAGCAAGGTGACACAGAGGAGGGTAACGCTCCTTCTTCAGTACGATGCGGAAAAGGAAAGTGGGTTGAATCCCCCTGAAAACTCACTATTCGTATCCCATCTTGTTTGGGAAAAGAATGTTTGGGAAGTTTCGCCACAGAGATTTAGATGGAAAGGAATAGTGGGTCCCTTCTTTGGTGCAACGTGAGCAGTCCCAGCCAGAGCTGGGGTGGGGGCGGAAGGGTCCATGGAGGCTCTTCATTCAGGTTGATTGAACCCACGTGGACAGAGGGCCTGTGATGCAAAGCAATATGATAGGCACTTTGGGGGAAAAACTTCAGAGAGAATATCTAGGTAATAACCTGAAGGTGCCCAGCGTCCATCAGAAGGGATCAGGCAACTACACTAATGCCTAAAATTAAAGGTAGCTCAGGTGACATCCTTGGGAGGCAGGATGGCGTCCTGCAGGGGTAGGCATCTGAGCCAGACCTTGAAGGGAGAAGCAGCGTGTTTAGACAGATAGAGGTGGAAGATGGAAGAAAAGGAATTTCGAGTTGAAAGAATGGCAAGAAAGAGGGCAAAGAGGCCAGAAAGCATAGGACAAGTTCTGTCAGGGTACAGAGAATGGGACTCATGACTGATTAGACTGGAAATACAGACCAGGGCCATATTGCTGAGAGCCTTGAGTGACAAGGTGAGGAGTCTGCTGTCCTGAATCAGCTTCGATAGTGGGAAGACTGTGGAGGGATTCTGAGCAGGTGCCTGAACTTCAGGCAGCCTCACAGCCAGGAGGTGTCCAGGTAAGAAGCATGGCGGGTCTGCACCTGCAACGTCGCAGCAGAAATGAGGAGGAAAGAGAGGAGTCCAAATCCTTTGAGGATGGGGTTGCCATGACTTGGGAGTGAGTGGATGTGGAGTACAAGGGAGGAGAGGAGTCCGGGAAGATGCTGAGGTTTGGAGTGAAGGAGACCGGAAAATTGGAGCCCTGGAAGTCAGCGAGGCAGACACTGAGGGTGTGCGTAGGGTCTGGAATTTGGACGCAATGAATCTGAGAAGCTGGCAGGACATGTAGGTGGTGACGTCCAAGAGGCTGTGATAGTTGGATCCTTCAGGAAGCAGACGCTGCGTGGGAGTTGGGTGTGCGAAAGGTTTATTGGGGTGTAACATCCATGCAATGAAAAGGGCAGGAGCAGGGCTGGGCAGGGGGAGACATCAGATCATGAGGCAGGGCTGACGAGGTCTGGGCCCGCCCAGTGGGGAGCTCGGGAGCAAAGACTGCCCATCACAGGAGTTCCGTGTTAGCTGAAAATGGCCCTTGAACCACTGCCTTGCTTAATCATTGGCTGGTTAGCCACCCCGAAAGACTGTACCCTCAGTTTGAAAGATGAAGGGACCTTGAAGGCGCTGACCACTGTAGGCTGTCAGCTGACCACTCTCCTTTCCTGAAGGAGGTCATCATGGCCCATCATGGATGACGGGCTTCCCAAGGGAAAATGAGGAGGAAAAAAAGGAGGAATCATCAGGTGGGATGACAAATTGTGGTATTCAGGGAAAATGGGATTTAGAAAAGAATGAAGGATAAAAGGCTGGCAAGTCAGAGAGATGAGGGAGAACCAGGACGGGCTGCTTCACGGACATTAAAGGAACAGAATTTCCAGAATCGGAGCTGCGGAGAAGTCAGGGCAGAGGAAGAGGAGAGGAAAGCCACCTAGGTGGGAGCTGGGGGGCTGCTCCTGGAGCAGGTGACTCACGGGAAGGGGTGTGGCTTTCCGCATCTCTTGCAGGTGACCCAGATATTGCTGGGGGCTATGAGCTGTGCTCTTGGAGGGCTTCTCTGCTTGGGGCCCTGGATTCAGCTGCGTGCCTCAGGCTGTGCCTTTTGGGCAGGGTTTGTGGTGAGTAAGAAAGGGGTTGTGAGCTCTGAGGGAGGCAAGTGTTTATGGACAAGGAGAAAGAAAGTTCCTTTTGGACCTGGGTCAGGGATTTGGGGAAGAGACCACAGACCCAGAGTCCAAACGCTCTCTGTTATGAGGAGGCTGCCTTAGGGGGGGGCAAAACCCTTCCACCCTCTGTTTTTCTCTTTAAGGCAAGGCTGGGAATAGCGGGGCAGTTGTAGGTGGAGTCCTGTCCATCTGCTAGGTTTCTTTGCCTGTTCCTTGGATCCTGCTTCAAATTGGCTGTTCTGGGGCCTGTTGGGAGAAGTTTGATGGGAGTTCATTTCAGGACAGCCAACTGGAGGACTTTTCTGGTGTCTTCTCTTCCTAGGCCATTGCAGCAGGAATTGGGGCCATTGTCCATGAGAAACACTGCGGCAAACTTTCAGTGAGTCTGGGCATCCTCTGTGCCCCACCTTGTCCTCTTCCCCCTCCTATGTCTCTGTTTTCCTGCCCTATTTTTCTGTCTTCTCCCCTTTGGTTTCAAATATCCTAAGCTCTTTCCTGGAGGGGTAGGGAGGGTTTCCTCAGCCAGGAAGCTGGGGAAGAGGAGACCGGTTTCAGGCCGGGACCCCACGGCTCTGCTATCCACAGAGGGAGTCTGCAGCCTGAACCTCTCTCTCCTAGGGCTTCATATCAGGTCTGCTCACCCTGGCTGGCATTGCCACGGCCGTGGCTGCCGTTGTCTTCTGTGTGAATAGTTTAACCTGGGAACCTGTCTTCTATGACATCAGCTCCGTGTATGATTCCTTAGTCCCTGACACCCCCACCTTTGGGTACGAAGAGACTAGACTAAGCGATTCCTATTCATCGTGGAGGGAGGAGCGCTGCAGAAGCTACATGCAAATGCTGACGGTGAGAAAGGAGAGTCAGTCTTCCAGGACGCGTCACAGCTGTGCATTGGGGAATTGGGGCACCTGAGGGCAGAGGTGTAGGCTCTCTGAGCTTCGACCTCATCCGAGGTCTTTGGTTCAGGAGGTTTTAACTTAATCTGAAGCCATTGTTCAGATCCTCATGGCATGAAAATTCCCTGAATCAAAGGGGTTGAGGACAAAGAGGAGACATTGAAGTGAGGATTTCATGAACCACCCTTCCGTCTTTTCTGGTGTGTGGCTGTTATCAGTTATCTATTGCTGCATAACATACCACCCCAAAATGTACTGGCTTAACACTGAATTTACTATTTCTTCTCCCATTCTGTGGGTTGACTAGGCTCACATGGGCAGTCCTCACTTGCATTTTCTCATGCAGCTGCAGTCAGGTGTCAGTTGAGGGTGAAGTCATCTAAGAGCTTGACTGGGCTGGACCACTAAGATGACACACTCACACAGCAGGGAGCTCAGCTGGGGCTATCAGCCAGGGAGCCTACAACGGCTTCTCCATGTGGCTTGGGCTTCTCGTAGCCCAGCAACCAGGTTCCAACAGGGAGCATCCCACTGTGAGCATTTCAAGAGGTAGGAAATGGGAGCTGCCAGGCCAAATAAGGGCCACCCCATACTTGACCTAGTGTCACTTCTACTGTATTTTGTTGATCAAAGCACTACCAGGCCCTTCCAGATTCTAGGGGGTGGAACAGTGGATCCCACCTCTTCACAGGGGGGAGGTAAGGTCACATTGCAGGCAAGCAGATGGGATGGAGTCAGTGGCTGCCCCCATAGTTGGAAGATGCAATCTGCTTTGGTGGGAAGTAGTTAGTTGGCCAGGGTCTGATCCCTCCTGGGGTAGCAAGATGATAGTAACAGCAGAAGCAGAGGAGCAGACCCCTGACTGTAACTGTTTTCTTCCTTTATCTTCAGGATTTGTTCCTAGGAATCCGTGGTCTGCTCCTGGCCATCTGTGTCCTGCAGGTCATTGTATCCTTGGCTTCCCTGGGCATGGGTCTCCGACGCTTCTGTGGCCAGAGCTCCCGGGCCCTGGTGAGCTGTTAGGGAGGCACTAGGGAAGGAGCGGATCTGGTTGGTGGAGCTATAGGGATGGGAAGGACAAGGGGGCAGGAACACTGCTGAGCAGGGGTCACGCTCCCCCTCACTCAGCCCTCTTCCCGTGCTTTGCTCTGCCCTTCACTGTCTGGGGAGCATGACCCCATCACTGTGTCCTGGGTTGAATTCCGCCTTCTGCCTCTGCGCCCTTCTTTGCTCTCATTTCCCCACGTTCCCCTCTTTCCCACGTCCTAGGTCTTGTCTAGCTCCCCTTCCTCCATCACCTTTTTCTTTCCTCCTTCTTTCATTTGTCTGATTTCCAGTTCTATGGAGCTAACTCTACTCCAACCTTTTCCTCCCAAGAATTGATTTACCTCCTGTTTTTTTTTTTTTTTTTCAGGATGAAGAAGGGTCAGAGAAGAAGCTGTGGGGGGAGAATTCAGTGCCTCCCTCTCCCCACAAGAAGAAGAGCACAGCTGTTGTCGTGTGAGCAGCCAAAGACCCTGCCTGGACCCTGCATGTCCCCCCAGAGTAGCCCAGGGCCCCTCACTGCCCCGTCCCTCACACTCGCTTCCTTAGGCTGCCCCTCCTCTCGCCAACACCCTCACCCGCTATTCCCACTCCAGGGTCCTCAGTTCAGTGAACAGGTATTGTCACATTTTTCCCAATGCTGATTAAACAGAAACAACCACAAAAAATGATTTTGTGCAGAAAGGATGTAGTCTCCCTTTGTTGATACACACGGTGCATTGGTACACGTGGAATTAAATGAGAGTTATGGGTCATATGGAAACAAGGTCCCAATAAGACTTAATTTACGTTCTGCTCTATATCCCAAGTGCAAAAACTCCTTTTCATGATTTCCTTCTGTTCAGTGTAAAGTGAAAATAACTCTTACATACTTAGAATCTTTTTACCTGCTAAGGTTTTCTTGAAGCATCTATAACTGATCAGTGGGCTTTACAGAACCATGTGAGACATGAAGCAAGATCATTTCCTCCCTCCCTCCCTTTCTTCCTTCCCTTCATCTTCCTCCCCCTCTGTCTCTTTCCTTCCTTCTTCCTTCCTCCCTCCCTCCTTTCCTTTCTTTTTTCTCTTTCTCCCCCATCTCTCTCTTTCTCTCTTGTTTTTTGCAGTAATTACTGTTGGTTCTCTCGCTATACACACACACACACACACACACACACACCCCTGTTATTCTTCAATTTCATTGTAAATGATACGATTGATTAGTTTTTCACTTTTAAAATTTTCTATGTACAATGTAAGTATATAGACGTAAGCACTTCTGCTATGGACCCAGGTTCATTTGTCCAATGTGCAGAAAGCCAGATGCTGAGATGCTGAGGTGTGCAGCAGAGAAAGTGTTTGTTCACGAGGCAGCCAAGCGAGGAGACAGGAGAACAAATCTCATATCTGCCTCCCTGAAGATGAGGGGCTTGAGACATTTATGGGATAGAGAAGCAGGGTGGTCTTAGGCATGGAGAAAGGTGATTGGAAGTAGGGAAAATGTGAGGTAGCTGGTATTCCATGCCCGCATATCTGAGTTACATGCTTCTTCAGGGGATACATGTCCAAAAATGGAGGTACTTAGCATGATCTGAGGGTGGAGTTTTCACCCCTCTGATGTCAAAAGGTCACTCACTGGACCCCTGGGCAGGCCCAGTTTTAGGGTCGTTGGTCCCAACCAGTCTTAGCCAGCTTAAACTGGACAGGAGCCGACTCCAAGCCTTGGAAAACAACTTAAGCCCCCGTTACTATAGTGACCCATTCATCAGAGGTGTTATCTATAGGGGGCCACTAAGGAATCAAAAAATGATTAAGACAAGCTTAGTCAGTGAACGCAGGTTACAAGGGAGGGGTTTTTAACAAGCGGCTCCCTTCCCTGCAGTTCTGTAGGATGAGCTCAAGAATTTCTGTTAGTCACCAGTTTCTGTTAGCCTTATGGTGCATGATTTCATCTCCGAAGGGTAAAAAAGCGGCCATGGTCTGTAGAATTAAGACGTCATAGGGATTCTGGCATTTTCGGTTCCAACATAGTGAGCAGACTTGCATTTCCGTTGCGGTTTTATGAAATCTCCGAGAGGTAGGTGTTATTACTAGTTAGAAGACCCACAGCAGAACTGGCTGGGAGCCCCGCCTTTACCCCCTGCACAATCCTGCCCGACGATGTGGTGTCGGCAGGGGCAGAGCTGCTGGTACGGGTGAGGCATAGCCCCACCATTGGAGGTAAGGGTGGTGGGCTTATAGATAGAGATTTGTAAGCAAGCTTGTGTAATAAAGGTCAAAGGGATGAGGTGGTATTATGTTCAGACTATTGGACGGTGCTTGGCAAAGTACGCCCTGAGGGGCAAGTCTGGTCTGCCACCTACTTCTGTAAATGAAGTTTTATTGAAACACAACCACACTTCTTGGTTTACACATTGTCTATGCAACAAGGGCAGAGTTGAGTGGTCTCAGTAGAGACTAAATGGCCCACAAAACTTAAAATAGAGTTTGCCGTCCCCTGGTGTGGGAGACCCCAGTGGAGGAAGTAGCTAGTCCTACTGGGTGATTGACAGGAGCCGGGGAGCCTGTGCTCTTGCTTCCCCAAATGTGAATCTAGCATGGGCAACAGGGAGAAGGCTTTGCCCCACCCTAGACTGGCTGAGTCAGGATTTGCATTTTCTCAAGATTGGCAGGTGCTTCGTGCCCCCATCACCTTTAGAGAAGCACGGAGATAATCACATCTAGGTGTCTTGTTCAGATATAGAACAAGCCCCTTTGAATTTGATGTCTTTCATTCTTTTGATGCATTTGTTAACCTTAGCATTTTAAAAAGGAATTTTCGTGAGAAGAAACAACAGCAGGGCAGACGCAAAGAGGAAGCACCTTTCCTCTCTTCCTTAGCTTAAGATGCTGTGGGTTTTTTGTGGTTCGGTATTTCTAAACCGTCCCTTTAGAGCTGGATTCGGTAGAAATTCTTTTCGTTTTTCATTCTGGTAAATAAACGACAACTTGGTAGTTTGCTCATTTGTTGGTTTTGCTGCTGTTTTTCTAGCATGAAGCGATCTCTTACTGTCAGAGTCTGGTAGCTTCTTTCTTTTCCCCCTGACGTCTCTGTATGTCTCTGAGGGAAGGGGTCGCCCCTGCATCTGACTTCTCCCTCTCCCCCATTTCTTCTTTTCTGGGCTCCACTGCCCTCCCTCTCCTTACCCTGTGAATAACCCTGGAAGTTTCATAATCTTTGTTTTGCTTTTCTGTAGGAAATCAGACATCGTCCCCTTCCCCCCTTGCTTTTGTTTACTTGGAAAAACCAACAGTTATTTGTCTATTTGCACAACTCAGTTTCGGTGACCAGATTGTATTTATGCAACTGACTTCATGACCCTGGGATCCAGCAATTAATCACAAGCCTATTTATATTTACTGAAGTGTTTAAAACCATTCAGAGTGTAAACGGGAAATGGTTCTATTTTTCTTTTCCAATCACTGCTTTTTGTGTGTGTGTGTGTGTGGTACGCGGGCCTCTCACTGCTGTGGCCTCTCCCGTTGCAGAGCACAGGCTCCGGACGCGCAGGCTCAGCGGCCATGGCTCACGGGCCCAGCCGCTCCGCGGCACGTGGGATCTTCCCGGACCGGGGCACGAACCCGCGTCCCCTGCATCGGCAGGCGGACTCTCAACCACTGCGCCACCAGGGAAGGCTCCAATCACTGCTTTTAACTGTGTTTTGTCAGCTCCCCATTTCCCCATTGGATATTGGTCCTTTTAACATCAGGACCAGATTCCAGATTCCACAACCTGGTCATTAAAACGGTCTCATGTTTGGTGTACAAGACCCAGTTCTGGTCATGTTTAAAACTGCAGTCATCAGAGCTTGGGTCCCCCTGTCAGCAGAGGCCGCTGCTTGGACTGGGAGGGTTAGGGATGTGCTGTGCTAGTGTGTGGCCCCTCCCTCTCCTTCCGGTTTCCTAAAGAGTCCTGAGGGAGGCAGGGGAGGGGATGGGGGTCCGGGCTTTCTTGGCTCAGCTGGGGGCCAGTGACCATTTGCTGATGTGATGTGGGTAGTGTCTGTTCTTGCGCCGTCTCGGAGGCATCTAGGAATTTCCCTGCCGGCTGCTCCGTTAGCTGCGTGCCTCAGTCAGGAAAACTTCCTGGAAAAGTACATCCTAAGGAGACAGCTATGAAATGCCGGGGGTGGGGAGGGCTTTCCTGCGGTACGAGTATTCACTTACTATTTCTTGCCCCTGCAAGGCCCAGAGTCTCTTCAGAGATATTTCAGTGGATGGGATAAAGCCCCATCGCCTCAGGCTCCACAAAGAAGGCCCTGGAGCCTCAGATGCAAAGAATTGCTCACAAAAAAGTTTGCAATTAATTTTTATGGGAAACTAACAGATGTGTGGACACGGGGTGGGGGGACGGGGAGGGTGGGATGAACTGGGAGATTAGGTTTGACATAAATACACTACCAGCTGTGAAATAGATAGCTAGTGGGAACTTGCGTATAGCACAGGGAGATCAGCTCGGTGCTCTGTGATGACTTAGATGGGCAGGCTGGGTGGGGGGATGGGAGGGAGGTCCAAGAGGGAGCGGATACATGTATACGTACAGCTGATCCATTTTGTTGTACAGCAGAAACTAACACAACACTGTAAAGCAATTATACTCCAATTAAAAAAAAAAATCCTTTCTGAAGTAGGAAGCAGACATTATGAAAGTGTTCATTTCCACGGTAGGTGCTGCTTCGAACTTCTTCAGCGTTTACTGGTTTAGTTTATTTCTTTCTCCCTCTCCCATCTTCAGCGCCCCACTCACTCCTCATTCAGGAGGATTTCTGCTTTCTTAGTGGTTTCCTTTGAAATCTTTTTTTTTTTTTTTTTTAAAGCATGTGCACTTAACTAAACAAACTCTGAAGGTAACCAGTAACCTTATCCTCTACCTGAAAAGTACTGCGCCTTTAAAATGTTCCTTGTTACATGATATTCTTGAGTTTTAGTTCTATATTGACTTATTTCAACCCCATAAATTAAATTTTTTTTTTTTTTTCGTATACTCAGTGTTTGTTTAACTTTACCTATATTTTTATTAACGGGTAAAAAGCTCTCCTTTTCCTCCTGTAATTCAGGCCTTCTTTCTGATATCCTTTTTCTTCTTTTTTGAGGTACATCCTTTAAACGTTTCTTTAATAGTAAAGATCTCTTGGTGGTAAACCTTCTTAGTTTTTATTTATCAGAATATTCCTTATTATACCTGGCTCAAGATAACTAGTTTCACTGGATATACCATTCCAGCTTTAGTTAATTATATCTAATTCTGGTTGCTTTTGAGATCTTTACTTGTCTTTGATGTTTTGAAAATTTACTTCAAAGTGTGTAGGTGTGCATGAATTTATTTTCCCTTGAAAATTCCTCCTGAGAAAGTATTTTTAAACATTCCAAGTCTCAGAGTTCACACAATTTTTTTTTTAACCTGGGAAACTCTGAATTATGCCTTTGAATAATTCCTTTCCCACATTCTCTCTAATATTTCCTTCTGAAATTTTGATTTGCCGCATGTTAGACCCTCTCACTCTAGCTTCCTTATCTCCTAACCCGGTTTGTGCTTTTTATTTTTCATCTCTTTATTTCTACCTGCTGTGCTCTGGTTAAATTCTTCATAATTATTTACCAAGTTACCCAATTTCTGCCTCAGTTATGTATAATCTGCCTTTTCCGTTCCATTAAATTTTAAGTTCCAT